TTCAATCTGATCGAATGGTCTTAATACTCTTTCCCAAATGTTTCTCAATCTTAGTCCGATACTCTTTATGTTTTTCAAAATCATTTGACTTCAAGCCATTAGGTATATGTATCTGAATTTAGAATAATTATGTGTAAAAATTATAAAATCCTCATAACCTTCTCTTGCATGTATATTCATGGGTCTAAATACATCAGAGTGAACTAGTTTCTAATACTTCTTGGCTCTATATCCTTTAGCTAGAATGATTTGTAAGTCATATTACCTTCCAAAGAAGAATCACAAACTGGCAATGGTTCGATCTTAAGTGTGTTAAGTGAACCATCTCTTGTGAATCTTTTATCTTGTTAAGGTTAATATGTCCAAGTCTAAGATGTCATAGATATGTATTACTAGTATGGTAAGACATTTGTTTATGGTTTGCAGAAGTAACATTTATTTCATTTGTGTTGCGATTTAAAATATAAATATCATTCATCAAATATCCGGCACAAATAGAGCTTTATTTTTAAAATATACAACGCATCATGCATAAAATTTAATCAATAACCTTGTCCTATTAGACAGAAAACAGAAATCAAATTTTGTTTCATCCATGGAACATAATAAAAATCTCTAAGAATTAAATGCCTATCACTACTAAAATAAAGTAAACTAATCCTACTGCTTTTGCTGAAACTATAGTTCTTGTGCCGACAGCAATTTTAAACTGGCCCTCATTGATTCTTGTACTCTCCTGAAGCACCTGCATAGACGTGCATATATAATTAGTGGCTTCAGAGTTTATAACCCAGGAATCTGTATAATCGACCCCAAAACATGACTCAGCAATAAAAAACTCACCAACACCCTACTTTTTAGCTAGTGTATCAGGGCAGTCTTTCTTTTAGTATCCTTTCTGACCATAGTGGAAGCACTTGCTTTTCGACATTCCATCTGATTTGGGCTTTTTGTTGCAGCCTGACTTTTTGTTAGATCTCTTCATCTTCTTTCCAATTCTGCCATTTGGCACTAGAGGAGCTGGCAATTGCCGCATAAGCATGGCGACTCTTACTCTTAAGACCACTTTCCATATTTTGCAGCTCATTCATCAACTCTGTCAGTGACATATTTCATCTTGTGCAAGTGATAGTTCACAATAAACAATGAAAACATATCAGATAAAGAGACCAATACCATATCAGCTTGAGTTTCCTGATGAATAGTTGTACCTAGATTCTCTGCATGTTGAAGTGTACAATCATAGTGAACATATGATCCTCCACAGGTATTCTAGGTTTCATTTTGAAGTTCTGTAAAGTACGAATGGCCTCAAAACAAGCCTTCCTACTTCGATGTCCGAACATATCCTTTAGTATGTCATCAGAGGTCTCTTGATTTTCAAGCTTTTGCTGTAACATGTTTGACATGGATGTCAAAATATAAAGAGCCATTTTGTCAGTTGTGATTGACTTGTCATACGTAGCCTTCTTAGAGTTGCCTATTATCTCAGTAGGTTCCTCGGGACATTTTTCTTTGAGCACAGAATCAAGTCTTTAGACAATAAGTACAAATATCAAATTACGTTTCCAATCTACATAATTATCTCCGACAAGTTGTTTTTGTTTTAGAATAACGGAAAATGCACTGAGAGACATTTTTTTAAAAGTGACTATTTATTGCATATTAAAATTGAGCAATGAATAATAATTTAGCATATGATGCATGAATGCATATGTAGACCTATCTAACTACAATGATGAGTTGATCCCTATGATCTGACATGCCACTCTATAAGAAAGGACAATGTGTCCACTATCAAGCTGAGACTCTCACACTAGACAAATTATATCTAACAACAAATGTCTATGTTAAGACTAGCATCGTTTTATTTCGATTTGAGTTTATAACATTTGTCTCAATCTCTAGATATTTGAAAATAATTTTGCAATCTATAGGATTATCACAAATTATATTCTATATAGACGATCTTATCATAAAGAAATCCAAATAAGCAACTCGAACCTTGCGGCCCTCCTATAAGGATTCCGTTGCATTATCGGACGAGGCAAGCACGTTACTTTGCTTATGGATTGACCAAAGGAAATCATGGATTTTATTTAAATAAACAACCTCTCCCACTCAATATTTTAACGTAATGGATTTTAATTTTAAATAATTATCAATTGTTCACATTAATAAGATTAATATACAATTTGATTATTATGATTTTTTCACAAAAAAATTAAACTTAAATTAAATTAATCAAAGAAAATTCGGTGTATAATGATATGTATCCTATTTAAAGAATCACGAGCGATGTCATAAATAAATCTATATGTCATGATATCAAGATTGACAATATTTCAAACAATATAAAGCATCCATAAAATGATAAAATTAACAATTATTTGTAGCCCAAAATGAATTAAGAATTAAATTAAAAACTAATTGGACCCAATCTCAATATTTAATCTAAATCTTCAGCCAAAAATCTTCAAGAATCCAATAATAGCACTCCAAAAAATAGCAAAGGACTTGTCACAGCACCTGCAAAAAGTAATTTTGAACTCTTTTTTTTTTCGATCCGATTGAAAAAAATGAACCCAAGCAAAAAATTATAGATCAAAATCTGTTGGAGTCTGAACGGGAGGCAAATTTAAATATTTTTTTTAAATAAAATCTTGAATTTTTTATTTTTTTTTATTTTTTGTTCTCCATTTTCAAGTCTTTATCTTCAATCTTCAATTGATTTACAAGGTGCAACAATTACAAGAATTACATAAATTCTTATGTCCCGTAGGTTCACAATTTTAAATCTAACTGAAATGAAAATTAAATTAAGATGATGGAGTCACAATCTACCTATCTGACTATAGAAACAACGAATTACATTAAGAACTAGCCACAAATAATTGAATTATAGTTTAAAATAATTCAATCATTCAATCATCACATGATAAAATATTCATAAACATCGCTCGATTAGAATATGCAATCAAGATTCAGAAATAACAAGCACGTGAATGATCTAAATTGCTCTAATACCAATTGTTGGAATACGAAAGTGAAATTAACCAGAAATTAAAAAATTTCTCTAATTCGATAAACAAAATCGTCTAGATATTCATGTGTATGTTGTATCAAAAATAAAGGATTTGAACTTTTACCCAAAGTTGATGGTCAATTCTTGAATAAATTTTGGACTACGGACTTCCAGCTTTTTAATTCAAAGATCTTGATGCTTCTAACCTCCAAGTTTTTTATGCTATCCTCGAAAGTCAAGACTATATTGTTGGATGTGTACCTTCTTTTAATTAAATCAAGAAATTAATTTTTGAATTAGACAATTGATAAAAGTAAGAAAAATAATTTTCTCTTTTTTTCTCTCTCCAAATTTTAACACTATGGAATTATGTATTATGACCGTTGGATTTTTGCGTCCATCTAGTCTCTATTTATAGATATGAAGATGTTACAATTCATGTACAATAATAATTCCAATTTTCAATTGAAGTCTTAATTAAAATTCAAATAGGAGTTTTAATTAAAGTTCAAATCTAATTAGCTTACATTTAATTACATTTGTAATCCTAGAACTTCAATTACAATTATAATTAAGTTTACAACTTTCATAGTAGTTACAAGTAAGTACAAAACTTTATTATAATTAGAACTAAGCCCAAAACTATTATAATTACAGTAGTTAAATTCTAATACTTTACAGAGCTACCATAGGGATCTGAACCAAGCTCTAATAATTAAATCATATCTAGTCGACCTTAAACGACCCAATCTAATTATCAAATTTTGTTTTTCGATTAAAGGTAAAAGACTAAACTCTCGGAATATATTGGGTTCTTATTTGATTCCCATTCTTTCAAAAATTCATTTTTTTCAAAACTTATTTTCAACCACACATTCTTCAATAAAATAATATTACATATAAATTCAAAACTTTTCTTTAATTTTTAACCACACATTCTCCATCAATCTTCTATTCAAAATGCGTTATTTCCTCTAAAATGGGGATCACACAAGGGCCAGATCACAGAAGCCAATAAAATCTGTAATACTATCCTCTAACTTGCCGTATATGTATTTTATCCCGTCCAAGACCCGATAATTAGGTACGAGCATAGAGGACTGTTTTACACTTTTAATTATTTTCACTAACTTAAAAACAACTTTATTTGATATAAGAAAATTGTTAGTTTTACATCAGGAACTATATTGTATGGGCACACAATCCAATAGATGGCAGGAGAAGTATTTGATGGTAGGTGAACTAATCGATGACAGTTTGCCTAGCTGGTACTTCTTTGGAAAAGTGAAACGTGAAATATGTATGTAATATCCTAATTTTCAAGTAGATCACGTACCGTTGTTTACCAAACCTCTTGCATTCATTCTATGTTGATTTTGTTGGTATTCTTGGGCTAGCGATAGATATAATGGCAAAAAAAAGGTAGTCCAGGCAAAATGCAGAATCTCACATTCAAAAAATTGTTTATGCTTTTCCCTTTTATTTCCATTTCCAGCTTACCCATGTCATTCACTATTTGTTAATTCTATAGGTCCTTGTAGGTTAGAAATTGTAATGTTGAGCATGTAGGACAAATTTGTAGACAACGAATGCAATGCAGTCTCAGTTATGCTTAGTGGAAACCAGTTATTCTCGGAAAGAATTTAATGGTGTCATCTTTCAGTGGTAATATCGTCAATTTGACCTATATCCAGTTTTTATTATATAATAATCGCGCTAATAAGGACAGCTTCATGAGGCATTGCTGTATCAACAAAGGCTAACAACTATTATCATCAATTCTTCATATCTAAAATGCTATGAGTTCGATCACCTTCTACTCGAATTAAAATTCTCTTTACACTACAACATTTTGTACCTTTTATAACATTTAAAGATAGCATTATTACCTATAATGCTATAAAATAAAATAAAATTTTGTTTAAACCTAATACAATAGCATTCTTTCAAGGCCCAATAAGAAGCCCAAGATGCTCAACATTTTACAGACGGTGCTACATTTTCTAACCTATTTTCTCTCTCATTGAATCACGTCTCCACCTCTCTTCTGGCCGATTCATTCCTAATTTTTTCATCTCTTCATGTTGATTTCACCACAGATTCATTCCCAAGATTTCTATCTATTGTTTGCCGATTTCACCATAGTTTCATCCCCAGATTTCCATCTATTTATGTCGATTATATTCTTCTATAAGTTCTGCAAATTCCATGTAAAATTTAGCAAAAAAATGTCAGCATCGACGATTTGAATTAGTGGACAATCTGGAGATTATTTCTCCTTCACTTCATTAATAAGGTTTTTTTTTTCTCTTTTTTTTTGGATTTTTAAATTGGATCGTCGCAATAGAGGACCCTCTGTTATGTGTGTTTTTGCAGTGTGACTTGATCTTGTAATAATGTCATTTATGGGATTAATATTATTTTTTTAGATGATTATTCTTGTATTTTGAAAAATATTTATTTTGAGACAAAAGAAATTATGAAGTTTTTTACAATCTTGTGGTTTCTTATTGATAGGGGTGTTTGATTTTGTTGGTAATTATTAAAAATTGGTGTGACTATAGTCACTATACAAGATTTGTTTATATATTCAATGGCTACTTCGTGTTTCAATCCGTTTCGACTGCGCAGGTCGAAGAGCAAATCTTTATTAATCCTTCTACTTCAAGAACACAGTTAAGCAATGATGCAGATAATATAGAGAGGAAGAGATTTGACAATTTAGAATGTTGGTCAATGATATTGGTTTCTGAGAATGTTGAGACTTGGGAAGCATCTGAAGATCAAGAGGAATGGACGGCTGATCTTTCTCAGTTATTTATAGGCAATAAGTTTGCTTCTGGTGCACATAGTAGAGTTTACAGAGGAATTCATAAGCAGAGAGCAGTTGCTGTAAAAATGGTGAGAATTCCAACTCATAATGAGGAAGCTAGAACTTTACTTGAACAACAATTCAAGTCGAAAGTTGCCCTTCTTTGTCGTCTTTATCATCCCAATATAGTGCAGGTTAGATTTCCTTATATCTTTGTGAATAATGAAAATCATACATTTTAGATAAACTAGTGATTCTGGAACAACAAACAAAATTTCAGCTTCTTTTTCATACTTAATCCTGTCGATTCCAACCTACCAAACATGCCTTTAATATAGTAATTCAGACTTTGTTTTGATGCACTTTTGACAATAATAGTATTTCAAGAACTAGCCAATACCATTGCCAGCAAATGATTTTGAAAAAATTAATTTAGCTTTCATTTAGTTCATGTTTTCTTAGTGTCAAAGTTTGATCAGGTTGGTAGATTGACCTCTAGGGCAACAACCTAACTGAGAAGCTCTACTGTTATGGTTTTAGATGATTGTAAAGCATAGAATCCTCACAACTAGCAATTTAAACATTTAAAATTTCATTTGCCCATTGCAATGGAGGAATTTTGGACTTGGTTTATATTGCTCCCCTTCCACATGATGATGTGGGCAAGTGTTTGAAGCTCCACCACCAGCGATGTATACATACTCAATAGCATTTTCTTGAATTTTGGACTTGGTTTATTGTAATGTATACATACTCAATAGTATTTCTACAAGACAATATTGATGCATGTTTTGGAATTTACTATTGCCTTGATTATTGTTTATATTTTTATTCCAAAAAATAATGCTATTGAGTATGTATACATTACAATAAACGCTATAAATATTAAAAAAAAATACTACGAAAAAAGAATGCTATTGAAGATGTATCATAACAATAAAGAATGTTATTAAAGCCAAAATTATAACAAAAAAATGCTATCATATAAAAAATATTGCACTAAAAGAATGCTATAATTATTAAAACCATGACAATAAAAGAATGTTATTTAAAAGTTTTTTTTATAACACTTTATAATAGCATTTAAAAAATGTTATAATAGAGGTACGACTTTTAATAACACCACCTACAATAGCATTTCGGAAAATGCCATAGAATATAATCGATAGCATTTTTTGCAAGCTATAGATGAGTTGATATGCTGTAGTGTTAGATTTATTTAAATATATCGTATTTTCCAACAATATATCGTTAAATATAAGCCCACTCTTTCACGAGTTTCCTTTATCTGTCTTCTAATTTGACAATTTACAAGGGTTATTGCGAACGTGAAAATATTGGAATAGATCATATCTGAAAAGAATTGCATTCCTCCAGCACAAAAAAATAAAAATAAAAATGAATTCATAGATATTCCAAGTCTTTTATCCGAGGTACGTATTTTTTCTATAACTTTGCCTTTAATCTCGTCACTTTTCTCTGTAACTATATTTATTTTTACTCAATTAATTCTTCTAGAAA